TGATTCATATCGTACATGGCGACGCTACGACACGCCAACTTATTTGTAGTTTGCTGGCTATGTTTGACTTGGAATTCAGTTTTTTCTCATCTAGATTCGTCTCCTTGATACTGCAGAGAATGATTAGGTATAGAACTTGCTTGAGAACCTAAAGAACGAATGGATATGTTACTGAATATTTATTCATACCCAGTCCCCCAGTGCAAACGGCTTGGGTATTGTAAATTGAGGACGTCCAAGACGGTCCGTTTTTCCCGCCAAGTCGCTGAATGTCTGACCAAATTACCAGGAAATTACTCATTGGCACACTTTCCCTTTCTCTATCGGAATTTTAATTTCCTTTTGTTGCTTTCTCAGTTAGTACAGATCCAGACTAAGTCGGTGTACTTTGTATATCCAAAGATAAAACAGGGTTGCAGAGGATTTCCCTTCAAAAACTACTGCTCATGGCACCCCTAGCTGTAGAATTGCTGGCCCTTAACTCCGATTTCCATAGTAAGAAGCNTGCGATAAATTGGTCGTGAGTGCGTTGTTGCGAGTGATGAAAATTCAGGTTGATTCATACCGTACATGGCGACGCTACGACACGCCAACTTATTTGTAGTTTGCTGGCTATGATTGACTTATTCATACCCAGTCCTCCAGTGCAAACGGCCTAGGTATTATAAATTGAGGACGTCCAAGACGGTCCGTTTTCCCGCCAAGTCGCTAAATGTCTGACCAAATTACCAAAAAATTACTCATTGGCACACCGTCCCTTTCTCTATCGGGATTTTAATTTCCTTTTGTTGCTTTCTCAGTTAGTACAGATCCAGACTAAATCGGTGTACTTCGTATATCCAAAGATAAGACAGGGTAGGAGTGGATTTCCCTTCAAAAACTACTGCTCATGGCACCCCTAGCTGTAGAATTGCTGTCCCTTAACTCCGATTTCCATAGTAAGAAGCGATAATCCCCAGGATGACCAGTATGCTTGCTGAGGTGGTAAGGTAAGTCGTCAGAAGGTCCAGTGCCTCATACCTGCTGGGGCTTAAATTGGTTATTGCTCTTCTCCCCTAAACAGGATGATAATCACCGGCTCCCATTTATACATCTGGGTGGAGAGGCATTGTGAACGAAAATTGCCTTTCCTAAGACGACATGGCAGCGCCCTAGTAACCAGGATATGAAGTAAGCCTGTTTTTCAGCCCAAGCGCAAATTTTCGTTTTCTCGTTTGTTCAGAAGCCTCAGAAGTGACTCAGAAGACGTTAAATGCAAGTCAAATATATTTTGGGTTCTTGTTTTTGAAAAAAAATTAGCGTTTCGCATTTCTCTCCCGCTTCCCGCCCTCTTAGAACTCCCGCTTCCCGCCCTTTCCTCTCCCGCCTCCCGTACCCCTCCCGCCCCCATGACCGCCCCCACTTTCTAGGGCATCGTAGCTGTTTTGTATGGTCTGCGAAAGGTTCACAAGGCTGGATGCCCTTTTCGCCCAATTGTTTTCTCCGTGAACACCTACACTTGCAATCTTGCTTCCTACCTCGTTGGCATACTTCAGCCAATTTCCACCAACCAGCACACGGTTTAAGATTCAATTAGTTTTGTAGATTGGGCCAAAACCTACAAACATAACAACGGAATAATGTACTCTTTGGATGTCACCTCTCTATACACAAAGGTGCCACTTGATGAAACAATACAGATTATTCTAGACAGCCGATTATATTATCTCCCTGATCCTCCGCAATTACCTCGTTCTGCTTTGCAGAATCTCTTAGGGTTTGCCACTAAGAAGAGCCATTTTATATTTGATGGCCAATACATCGATCAGATTGATGGTGTAGCCAAGGGTTCACCTTTAGGCCCAGTTTTGGCCAACATTTTCATGTGCCACTTTGACGAAAAATTTTTGATGAACAGCAGATTCTCTCCTTCACTTTGGTTCAGATATGTAGATGACACCTTCATCATGTGTGACAGCAAAGATAATGCTAATGAGTTTTTAAGTTTTCTATCAAATAGTCGACATGATAGCATCAAATTTACCATTGAATTTGAAGAAGACAATAAGATTCAATTTTTAGACATCCTTTTTAAACGCTGCCCTGACAACACTTTCTCCACATCTGTCTACTGGAAGAAGGCATTCACAGGCCTCTACAGTAAGTGGGATTCATTCACACTTCGTAAGTACACAATCGACCTCATCCGCACAGTCACCTATCGATGCTTCCGAATCTGCTCTTCACCATCTTTGTTGCAAGTCGCTATTAAATAGCTGAGAAAGCTCCTGTTGCAAAATGGTTACCCTCAAGGTGTTATCACGTTCAACATTAACGATATATCGCCAGTAAATCAGTAAATACAATAGCATCTAGTCTAACTTTGGCTCCCTCTCTGTCACAGAACGCTACGCTCACAGGAGGGAGGGACCCTCTCTATCGACAGAGCGTATCCTTGCATGACAGAGAGATCCTGAATTGGACTAAGTGGTATCCCGATATCTTGTACCTTCCGATAACTAGGCTTGATTTCCGCCGCTCAGTCGAGTCCAGTCAACGTTCCTACCCGAGGGGTCTTCGAGGAGGAGCTCGGGCTCCTTTCTGGGACAGTACAGCGACAAGTAATCGAAGCTATCCTATAACTAGAAGCAGAAGTTTGAAACATTGTTATTTTACCCCCGTTCTCCATATCTAGAACTCCTGATTTCTTGAATAAAATTTCGTTTAGCCGATTATCTTGAAGGTTCAAAAATTGCTGTTTTCCACTATGACTTTTCACTGAAGTCACAGTGGAATCAGCAACTGCTGTATGAACTGTGCTATACCTTTGGTTCATTAACTCGTGCTGGTCATAATTTGCTGTTAGTCATAAATTATTATTTAAATTGAACAAACTGGTGTGGAAACGAAGATACAGGGAGCCTTGTTCAAATTTCACATTGGATTGATCTGGCAACCCCGACGTGAAGTCATGGGCTCGACTGATCAAAAGACGATATGAAACATTGCAACACGGATTCATATCTGTTCAAGGATCTTCCTAAAGTTATTGAAATGAAAGATTCTGGGAACGATGAAAGAAGGGCCTTGGCTGTCGAAGGCAGGAATGGAAAGGTCCGACTGAACTACAGGAACAAAAATGACAACCATTGTCCAGTTAGTTTGAAGGACATCTCGTACTCAGAACACCACATCATTTGTTTTTTCCGGCGGGGCTAACAGAGAGACGAAAGGACTTGGGCCCGAGAAGCTTTCTTTCTTTGTATAGACTCTTCAGAGGTCCTGGAAAGCTATACCCAAACATTTCAAAGTTAGCTCGGAATATCCAACCAAGGATGTCAATCCATTCTAAAGGAATCTGCGAGTAATACTCAAGTAACGAGGCAGATGTATCCGAAGCTTTTTTCTTGTATGCAAACCGTTTTGCGTCCTCTCCAGATATGCCTGCTGCTGCTATCAAGTCTGCTAGATCTTCCTCCATTGTTTCATAGTGTCCTATAAAGTCATATTTGATGGCACACATTGCACAAAAATTCGCGTAATTATCCCAGTGGAAGTCCATGACTGGGGTGGTCTCGTTGCTTCCTTTGGTTACTAAATATTGAATAAATTCACGAAATGTGATGTCGTCGAGCTTTGTAAACGCTTGCCGTGTGGCGTTTGGACGGAAGTTCTTTAGAATTTCTCTACCGTGAAATTCAAGAATTGGGCGGTCTACTCGTCTTAGATGAACAAACTTGTCTTTGTACGCTGACAGAATGCGCTCGAACGGCTCACGAACAAACGTGAACTTGAAATATGTTTCCAACATCATGGTGAGCTTGTCTGCTGGTTGTTGCCATAACCTAGGTGTGTTTATTCCATGAACTCCTGGAAACAACATCAGCCTGATTTCTCGACTGGCACATTTTGGTGTGATGCAATAGATTATTTTAAGACTCTCACTCACCGATATACGGCGAGGAAGAGGTTGTGCTTCAAGACCAACTTTCCCGGTTCGCTTGCAAAAATTT